GTATGCCAGCCGATGAGTCATGTGGCTCGACGCGGCGGTCTCGCGCGCGCTGGGCCGCCTCCTCCTGCCCCCAAACGCGTCGGACGCCTCTGCGCTCGCCGCGCTGCGATCCGGACTCCACAACCTGAGCGAAAGGGCCGCCGGCGAGCCGGGCGGAGGCGGAGGGGCTCCGCGCGAGGGGCTGCTGCGCGACGCGCTCCTCCGCGAGGCGACGGCGAATTGATTAATTATTAATTACTTACTGACTTGATTAATGATGAAGCTCCTCCGCGAGGCGACGGCCGCGGCGCGCGCGGCGGTGCGGCGGCAGTGGCGCAGGGAGCTCGCGCTGAGCCGGCTGCAGAAGCTGATGGTTCCGCCGGAAGAGGAGGAGGGGGGGGCTCTGCCGCCGCCGGAGGGAGAGGGCGAGGAGGAGGGGGGCGAGGAGGGAGGCGAGGCGGGAGCGCCAGCCACATGGGAAGGGGACGGGCCTCGCTTGGTGGGCGACGTGTACGGCGGCTTCGAGGAGCAGGCGCGCGTGAGAGGGGCGGCGCTAGGCGGGAGATCTGGGGAGATACGGGGAGATACGGGGAGATATGGGCGGCGCTAGGCAAGAGACGTGTGCGGACCTCTGACATGTGCCATGTCCACCCGGCGTGCCAGGCGCGCGAGATGAGCGGCGTCGAGCTGACGCTGGACGTGCTTCGGATGGCCCAGGTCGAGCGGGACGCTCGGCTGCACCTCGGCCGCACCTCGGCCGCACCTCGGCTGCCTCTCGGCTGCCTCTCGGCTGCCTCTCGGCTGCACCTCGGCTGCACCTCGGCTGCACCTCGGCTGCACCTCGGCTGCACCTCGGCCGCACCTCGGCTGCCTCTCGGCTGCCTCTCGGCTGCACCTCGGCTGCACCTCGGCTGCACCTCGGCTGCACCTCGGCTGCACCTCGGCCGCACCTCGGCTGCCTCTCGGCTGCCTCTCGGCTGCCCCTCGGCCGCACCTTGGCCGCACCTCGGCCGCACCTCGGCTGCCCCTCGGCTGCACCTCGGCCGCACCTCGGCCGCACCTCGGCTGCACCTCGGCCGCACCTCGGCGGCACCTCGGCTGCACCTCGGCGGCACCTCGGCTGCACCTCGGCGGCACCTCGGCCGCACCTCGGCCGCACCTCGGCTATATCTCGTCAGGTGGAGGAGGACGCGCTCTCCAAGAAGGCGCGCGCTGCGCTCGACGCGGCGGTCAGCGCCTTCCGCTCCTCGCTCGCGCCCGAGGCTGCCGCGCAAGACGGCGGCGGGCGGGCGGAGGTGGGGCGTGGGGAGGTGCGCTTGGCGGGCGGCGGGGCGGGCGAGGAGGCCTCCCTCGCCGGCTGGCGATCCGACATGTGGGCGGGCGCTTGGGCGGGGCTTCGGGCGAGCGAGCTGATTGCCGTCGGCCTCGCCTCATCACGGGGCGAGGACGAGCCTGACGACGCCAACGGCGCCGCGTCCGCGAGCGCCGCCGCAGAATTGCGAGTCGTCGGCGCAGGCGACGGGTCCGACTTTGCGCTGGTCGTCCGCCCCCCCCCCCCCACCTTTAAAATTTCTTTTCAAACCTGTTGAATAAAAAATCAAACCTTTTCCCCCTCC